GGGGGGGGGGGGGGGGGCTGAAGCCCCCCCAAGCTTTAAGATGAAACAGAACTCCCTCAGTGGTAAGATACTTGTTAGCTGTTCTAATACATGAAAGTAGCTTATTAAGATGTTTCTATTCATAATTCCAGTAATCAATATTGGCCTTTGGCCTCCTTTTCTTGGCCTAGTTCTTGTTCTGGCTATGTTTCTTGGCATCAACCTTGACCTAACATCAGCTTATCTTTTGACTGCGTCACTTTAGGACATAACTCTAGCTGCTTTCAAGCTATCTGTCAGTAAGATATTGAGAGACGAATGAACGCTTCTAGAACCTCAGAGTTAAAAGTTTCAGTATCTTCAGTTGTCATAGTCCATCTTTGGTTGTTTGGTCTCATATGCTTGGTGAATTTTCCCTGAGGTTAAAATTCGTCTATTGCAATCTGGCTGAAGAACCTAATGGTAGAGGTTTCTTGAGGCTTCATTTCAATCTGGAGACAATGGTAAGGTAGAATAAGGGAAAATGAAGAGGAATTTTTTTGCGGTAGTGACAGGAATGTGGACAATGTCAGGATATTTAGCTTCCTGAGCCTTGTCATGATTCCTATCCTCTGGGGACAGGGTGTAGCAGGAGTGGAACAGTCTCTTTACGTAGGCCTTATTAATTTTCTCATGCTTTTGAAATCATAGATTTTAGATTGAATTGGTACCCTCCCCTCCCCCCTAGGAGCACTTCCATTAAGTACAGGCAGGACACCTTGGGGATGGAAGGTGAAGTATTAATAGACCCATCCAACAACGATGAGGAGCAGAGCAAACTTGACATCTAGTGGAGCACCTGGAAAGCTTGTGTTTTCTCTGTTCATATCTATAAATGGATCGGGTGATCCATTTATAGATAATGACTGTATTACTTGCATGAAGCACAAAAGAGGGAAGATACTACACAATATGTAAGATGTGCATCTTGATTTCGAGTTCTGGTGAATGTATTTGTAATCTTATTTGCATCTCATTGTATCTTTTTGGTTTTCAGGACTCTTTGATATTTGGACTTGTAGCAACCTTCATATTTACTATATTTCTTTTGTTGCAGATAGCTATTCTGGCATCTACTATCTGAAATATGGAGGGGAAGAGAGCAGTCTCAAATCTTATGCATCAGCTCATGGATGATGGAGCTGCCCTTCACTTTCTTTGCAAGTCACAAGACACAAAGAGAAACAGGTCCTTAAAGAGCTGGGCCTCTTTGACCTCATATCAAGTAGGTTTATTGAAAATGTGTGTGTCATCAGTGCAATTGGATTTCTCAGTTCTTAGATGTCAGTTCTCCATTAACCATTCAGCATATAATATCTTATATAATATAATATCTTATCATGGGAAACTCTTTCATGTGAAATAATGTTTTTATATTGTAGAAGATATTGATTGCAGTGGAGAAGCTGCTTCCGTGTCTCAAAGGGAGAGAACCATCTTTGTTGGTGACTGCCTTCATCAGGCTAAGCAGCGCCTTCGTGAGAAGGAACGTGCACAAATGTGATTCTTTGTGATTCACTTGTTCAAAACTGATGGCACAATAAAAAATTATGAAGCCTGGATCATACTTATCTGTCTGTCCCATCTGTCAGAACTATAAGGCATGGTAATCTATAATGAATACAACTTCTTCGATGAAACATTCCACCTTGAGAAAATGAGGATAATGGGAGCCAATCAAATCTTTTAACACAGGCCTTCTCAGTTCAGATTCAAACTGATTTGGTTATTTCTTTTTTATGGAAGCCTAATTTGCATGTCACCGCATGTCATAAATTCACCGGTGTGTGGACATGAAAATCAGCTTCGATCCTATTGGTCAAGGTTGATGGGTGTACATATACATATTTGGCATGTTATTGATACAGTGACCTTGTAAATATCAGCATGAATTTCTTGTTAAGTTCACGTCAATATTGACGTTCATGGAGAGATACACAACTGACGAGTTATTGATGCAATAACTTCTCAATATGAATGTATGTTTCACATCACATCCACTTGCTATTGTAGATTTGTCCGCATCAAATTGATGAAAATTAAAAATAGTTGTGCAGCCTGGGCTTCCCCTGGTACTGAAGGAAATTCTAAGTTTTAAGAAGTTCAAGCCAAACTAAAGAATCACTTCCTTTTTAATCAAATTTAACGCATCTTCTGATAAAAACAATGTTAATAAATAGAAAAGCTTCATAATGGTGAATGTTGTTATAGTAAACAAACCCGGGCAGGCCAGGAGTAGCCACTCGCTTTTTGACAAATCCTCAAATTGAAGCAGCACTATTACCTTATTCACTTTTCCATAAATTTATTATTTTATTCTCTCTCCTCCAAAGTTCACCCACTGTCTGCATTTATTATTTGTTTTATAGACTGCTTCTTGTTTTTTGTGTATGCATGCACATCAGGATCATTAATTTTTCCCAAACCAAAGTTCTGAGTGTACATTTTCCCATATGTTTTCCCTAAAAGTGTTGCTGCAATCTCTCTTTCAAAGCTGTACTTTTCTTTTTCACAGGCATTTTGTAAAACTCAGTACAATAGACCCCCTACTTACACAAATTTGATTTACTAGTTTCTCGTGTTTACAAATTTGGCATATAAGAGGTTTCTCAGGAATGCAACCCTCATGTCGGTCAGTAGTCTACTATACAGAAATAAGTGTGGCATTTTTCATACATATTGCAATATTCTGGCAGAAACTGCATATGTATGTATACCCTTTTCCATACTTTCCACACACTCAGAGCTTTCTTGGCCCTCATCTCATTTGTCATATTTAATTGTAAATTGTATATACACTGGCCTCCAAAAGTGAGTCAATGGGTCGGGTTTTCGTGTTTAACCCAAAATATCTCTTTCAATATTCAACCAAATCAATTGCAATTCAAGGCAATTGTAGTCCTATTGTATAGCTTTAGTTTAAAAAAGAATCATGGAAATCAATGATTTATTGACAAAAATATATCCATCCAAAGTCAAAGTGGGATGAGTCAAAATTTTGGCGAATTTCAATGATTCCACAGACTAAAATTTTGTGTAGCCACCCTTCGCCTTTCTGACGGCTTCAAGACGTTTGGGCATCGATCTCACCAGACAAAGGCATGTTTCACGGTCAATGGAATTCCAGGTGTCTTGAACTTGGTCCCAAAGTTGATCGGTATTTCCAACAGGAGGCAAGTTTCTGAGCTTGCGCTTGATGTGATCCCACAAATGCTCGATAGGATTGAGGTCCGGAGATTGCGCTGGCCATGTCATCACCTTGATTTTGTTTTTNGATGTACTTTTCGTCCTGCTTGTCCAGGACACGAGGACGGCCTCTTGAAGCAAAGGGTGCATTGGTACGATATTTCTTGATGTACCGAGCTGCAGTTGACTGAGAAAGTGAAAGAATTTCGCCAATTTGTCGGCTTGATTTGTGCTGAGACGCAAGCTCCTTGATGCGTTCTTGAATACGCTTGGACATGGCTTTGACCATTATAATGCAGGTAGATAGAGAAAAATAACGAAAGGAGAAATGAGATCTAGTAGGACTAGGCCGAGATTGCTGCTTTTATATGACTTTTTCGCAAACACCAATAATCGCCAAAATATTGACTCACCCCCCGGCGACTATGAAGACATGCATATTGGCCGCGAACTGATCGATCATGGTGAATTTTTTTAATTTTATGTAAAAGAGGTTGCATAATAACATATTAGAATTTTGTGAGATTCAAGTGAATATTGCCAGAGATATTCGACTTTGAATAGAAATTTACGGAACATTGACTCATTTTTGGAGGCCAGTGTACATCATTTTATCGTAAATTAATATGTAGGGTATTGAAAATCTCTTCCTAGAAGGAAGATGAGATAAACAGGAGCATTCTGAAAATTTTTCATGGCAGTCCTGGTCTTCTCCACATTAGCACCACCACTACTCCATTTTTTTGTCCTTCAGCCATCCTTCCATAGGTTTGAATGACCAGTCCTTCCCTTTTCCTCTCAACAGGGAGGCATTATGAGATAGCAAGACCTGCCCACTATCTAATGAGAGGATGGACAATATTGCTGCTTCCTTGCTGCTAATATATGTACCACCTCAATATTTCTCTATTTTATTGATTGTCAGTGTCCTAAAGGAGTATATGAGCATGAATATGGGAAGAAGTCTTTGGGCACTATGGAACTCATGATGAAAGACTACACAAGAAGATGACAGTGACTTAGGACAGTTGATAAGTGCTGTGCAGTTGTTTATATTGATGAGTATCTCACAAGGACTTCATATGGGAGGAAAAACCAGACTGTTGACATAACCTAGATCCATGCGACTCCCCAATGGTGACAGGAGACAAATTTTCTTGATTAAAAAAAAATTCCAAATTGCTGCTGACCTATCGGTGATGGTGGTTCTCTTCCAGACAACTACTTGGACGAGCACGAAGAACCTAAAGTCCCCTTTTTATTATCACTAATGTTTTAAATGCTTTTATTTAAGGCTTTTTTATTACCACCAATCCCGTTCATTCATCCTTGTTGTGTTACCATGCAATAAATTGTGCGCGGTGTCAAACTGCGCATCTTCATATCAACCCGGAGTCATGGATAATTTCAAGGAGTCAGTACAATAATAAATCGACGAGTATGTTTCTGCCGATCACAGAGGTCTCTCTTACAAACCTCTTCAAACACCGCAACCTTCCTTATAACTGACTGGATATCCCCCCATGCCGGATCCGACCACCCTGTGGCCACACACGTCTGCATTGGCGACCCTGCCGTCTGAGCACGCCTTTAGTTCTAAGATGAGACACTCTACCGTTAACTTGTCATGTTCTTCAGTTGAAAAAAAAGCAATTAGCACAAAGCAAACAAGTCAAATCAATCACAATTGAGAGTTAAAGGAGTATGTCTAATACACTATTTTTTATCATAAGATATACTATGCAGATCTCTTCCAAGAACTTTATATGTCACAAATTTCCCTCATATCAAACATGAAATTCAGTCCCTTGTGACTGATTTAACTACATCACTTGAAGGTTCCTATGTCATGGTACAACCCTCTTCCATCATGTATAATTGAAAGAGTGTACCATAGTTGGAGAAAGGAAGAGAAGAACAAATGAGGTTGAACTCCAAAAGACTTAGACTACAATTGACGTCTGCATTGATTATCATCATTAAAATGTTTTTCCTTGTTTTCGAACCATTTCGATTCATTGAAAATTTGGTTTGAGTCGATTTTCATCACTCGATTTTCGATTTCCTCTCACCAGGTAATAATACAGGTTTTTTTGGATATATGGATGTTTCAAGAACCCAGGGCGACAGAGAACGCGGGACTCTGATTTCTGAGTTGCTTGAAATATTTCATTTTCGCGCGCAGCACTTCCTTGTTGGACCTCCCACTGACCTCACTCTCCCATGTTCCTCTTCGCCTGCCCTGGCACCCTGCCGCATGCACGCACTTCCCCCTCGCCTGCTTCCTTCCAATCTTTGCTGGTCTCACTAGCTCCTGGGGCTGACTCTTCCTTTGTGGAAGGGAGAACCGGTGTACTTCTTGTTGGACACAAAGGAGCATGAAGGATTTCTGCAATTTCTATTGTCGGTATCAATCCTTTTGCAGGCGGTACACAGCCTAAGGTTCCAAGAGTAATGATGTTAATTAGATGAGTGTCATGTTATGTTTGAGTTTGTCAACCAATGCCTCCCCCTTTTAATGACTATGTCCACACATCTCTCTCTTCCCTGAAACTTTTGCATATATCGTTCGAGAATGATGAAATGTGGGTGCATAGTGTATTTGACACGTTTCAAGTTGATCTTGAGAAAATGGACTGTCTGGGATTCAATATCTGTAACTGAATGATTTTATGTGGTCCCAAGGAAAATACTGAGTGGGATCGCACTGTCATCTTCGACCAATAGTTAGCCATAAGTTCTTGCTAAATGTGTTTCTTGCAACAATTACTACACTTGACTTGGAAACTGTTCAACCCATAAGCATCAAGGTAACGATATCGAAGGACGAAGTAATATAATTTTAAACGAGGTTCAAAAACGATGTGCTCATATTACTACGGATTGGAATTTTCACGAATTTCCTGTCTTTCCTTCCGACCGCTGATACATCATAGAGATCATTGCGACTTTAGCATACTTCTTTGGTTGAACTGTATACCAAAGCTCACGGGCCTAAACCAGGAGATTTCGAAGAGAAATAACAGTGAATTTAGAAGTGTGCTTGCTATTCCCTAGGGCTTCTCATGGTTCATGCTTTTTTCGCATTCATCGGATAAATAATGAATGTCCACTGATTAATCGATGGAGACGAGTCTCTAGGTTGCAGGGATAATCACCGTGTGGAGAGAGGGAATACAAAATAAATGTATCCTGATGGTATGTTCAATCAAAGCGGAGCGTTTTTGATAGGGATGCCGCCTCCACCCTCATTTGACGGGCTACTTATGCCTCCTTGGGTGTTTTTGGGGAATCGTGAACCATTCCACCTCAAGATAGACTCCGAGGAAAGCAGCTCGTGGTCGTTGGCGAGGAAGGAGGCATGCAGGAGAAACTCGGTCGATTGCTGCATGATTCTTCGACATGGCCGCAGTCAAATCGTTCTTGGTCAGAGAATCAGCACATGACAGGCACATGTCAGTTAACCCCAACCCCACCGCCATTTTGTTAGGTTGCTTCCTCCCCAATTAAGCAACTCAGCAAAATGTTCCAGCTAGAAACAGAAAACTTTCCATCAGTGTGCAACTTCCACTATGATGAAGGCCTTGCCTTGCCATTCACCTCCGACCCCTCTAACCCCCCCCTTTGAGAACCACATTCCGAGATACAATATACGACCCTTATTAAGGAGGCCCTTTAACTTGCCTGGAGATGTGGCAGTCATGACATTCGCACTTGACTTGGCAGATACATTTTTCATAGTAGTCTCGGTAGATCTGAGTAGGAAACTCACAATACATCATCCTCATTCTGAAGATACTTGGTCAAAGGGTGGAACAAATTCCGTATCCCGATTAGGTCCTTTTTTATGTCTCGGCGGTGCAGAAGATCTGGAAATATGCATTCTTTCTTCGGGAGAGAATGAGGGCAAGAAATGTTGAAAGCACTTTGTCGGAGAATTTTATGTATTTTGTTCATATCAGCTCTCCGCACATTGCCTTAGATTACTTGGAATCCTTATGAAGTTATATGACCCCGTTTCATACATGTCAAGCGCGTAACTTTTTTCGCTTCCGAAAAGAGTCCTACGCATCCTTCTGCATTTTAATGCCCCCCAAAATCAACCACCGTACAGGGAGACATTTATTCCCACTCATGTTTCAGGAGAGATTGAATGGGGTAGGTGGCAAGGACGGCGAGGAGCTAAGAGGAATTTCAGGAGGGGCGATCGAAAGCGTCGCATTTAAAAAAAAATTGTCCTGGGAACGACAAAAAAAAATCAACAGCAATAAGCACCACCAGTTGAAGTTCTCCTGCCACTTACTCACAAATAGACACACAAAATAACGCCCGCGCACAAGTGTGTGAGGCAGGAAGGAGGTCCAATGAGGAAGAGCTACGTGCGAGAATTCAAAATTTCTTGCAAATCAGAAATTAGTCCTGCGTTCTCTTTCCTCTTGGAGTCAATGAGCAATTTTGGTGTCATTGGATTCTTGAAAATCCCTCTATGGAATAGGTGCAAAAAATCCTGTATTCTCGGTCGACTAAAAATGTAAGAAATGACCCACATTTTCAACAAAGACCGCATTTAAAACATATAGGTGTCGACGAGAGAGGGGTTCGAATTCTCATGCAAATTGACACGAAACTGGTTTAGAGACTCATTAAGAGGAGTTCTTCCTTTTCCAGAGGAATTTTTAAAATTGGTCTAATTTGTCAGTAATGCCCGTCAACCTCGTTTCCAAAAGTCAGTAATTGGCTCCAAGGCCCTCTCTGGAGGTCCCTTACAGCAATTGTAGAGTGAGAATTCGATCCAGGGGGGTCGACATTGATGTTCCCATAGTACTGTAACAGCCCACTCAGCACAGCACGCGGGCTGTCCTGTATATAAGGGAGGAGCTCTCTGTGAGTCGCCATATGGAGGTCGTGGTACACGCATGGCCCCTAGGTGTCACGCCTGACCTGTGGCCCTTGACCCCAGTCAAGAGGTCCTCCTTATAATTTATCTAGATCAGCAATGGGCAAACTTTTTTGACTGCGGACCACAAGTGAACCTCTTAGGTTCCCGACGGACCGAATGTATTCATTATTATTACTGAATTACAGCTTTATGCCTGCTGAGTACCGAAATAATCCTAAGCTTGATTAAGTGAACCAAGTACTAAAATTGTCTCACCTTTTTACTGGGCAAAATACAGAGCAAACCGCTTGCTCCGAGAACACTGACCAAGAAGAGAGCGAGGGGATATTTGTAGTAGAAATATAGCATTTATGTATTATTTCTTGCTTCTGTTTCTTCTGCAGTGGGAAGCGGAATCTTTGAGCGCACAGTTGGCAGATAGTAGGAAAAAAAATGTATGTAAAGCCCCGATGTGGGCCCAACGTTCCACATCGCAAAAGTGGAGTTCCAATTTTGGCCCAATGTAGGTGGGCTGTCGCGGTCCTTCTTGATGTCTTGGTGAGGCAAAGATCTGGAAATGTACCTCCTTTCTTTGGGAGAGAATGAGGGCAAGAAATATTGAAAGCCCTACTGTCTATGAATTTACGAATTTACGTATTTTGTTAATTTGAGCTATCTGCACGTTGCTTTGGATCATGTGGAGTCTTCATCAAGTTGTATTATCCCATTTCATTCATGTCAAGCGCGTGACTTTCTTTTGGTTCTGCAAAAGAATCACACGCATCTGTCTGCATTTTATAGCCCCCCTCAAATTAACAACCATGTCAGGAGACATTAGGATCGCCTTTTAGAGAGATTGAAGATGGTGGGGGGGGGGGGATGAGCGGCGACACGCGAAAAGGAATCTCAGTAGGTGGAATCGAAAGCGGAGCATTTCATTTAAAAAAAAAGCGTCCTGGGAACAAGAAGAAAATCAATAGCAATAGGCGCCATTTGAAGTCGTGTCGATATGCTCCTTCTCCTGCCACTAACTAGTGGGGACGAGTTTTGTAACCTGTTCTGGCCGGAGGGGGGGGGGGGGCGGGTTTGGAGAAATTTTAAAGGTTTGTTTACTCTCTTTAATTTGCCTGG